TATCAAAGGTAAAATGAGTCACCTTGAAGGTGTCCAAGTTTAGATATTGAGCGTCTGGTTTGAAACACTGTACATTATATTGAGCAAATAAGTAAGAAATGATGTATTATAAAATATTTCATTATTAAAATTACTTTGTTTTCTCAAGCAAGATAAAATAGTCATGCTAAAGATTAGGTCCCATTCCTCTAGGGGAACATTAGAGGTCCAATTACCCACTTGGAGCATCTAAATAGGAAGAGTATCAATCCTCCCAGCAATGCCTCCAGCTGAAGTTCTGTGGACCAGGGCTGGGGAGACCCAGGAGAGGGCAAGAAGCTCTGCCACAACTGTCTGGCAAGACCAACTTTTCTCCCGCAAGGGCAAACTGAAGGTAAGGATAGAGCAGACAATACTCTAAGGCCTGTCGACTTCTAAACTACCCCTCTATAATGATCCTTGTGAAACAATTATTTCTATCAGTGGTCATCTGGTACCTAGGATTTAAGATAGTGGGTTCATTAAAGAGAATAAGGATCACAAACTCATTTAAGTCTCCTTGAACCAGTTTAATCAAAATGATTTTCTGCTACCCTCCATTACAAGCCGAGTTTTCGTGCTGACAGATTAATGACTGATCCACTAAGCCATACCACCTCTCTTGTCACCAGTCCTCCCAACTGAGCCAGCCCCTGTTCTATCGATAAGTTCCATTTGCCCTTGAAACTCATTATAGCTGAGATGCTAAGATCAAATGAGCAACATTCACAGCCAACCTGGTTATGCTACAGAGACCACCAAATTCCACAGAGTCTGCAGCAGGAGGAGAAAGAAAAGGCCTGGTCCTGGTGCTCTCATTAGAATTACAAACCCAGGTCACTCAGGAGAAAGATAAATGCCAGCCAAGACAACACTTCTGATTCTTGGGGCCTGCTAAAGGTAATTATCCTGGCAGTAAATGTCAGGGCTAGTTTCACGTGTGTGAAAGAAAGAAAATGTCATGTTTAGTGTAAGCAACAATATTATTTTAATCAAATCAAAAGCTCATTATTAAGAGAAGGCCATGACAGGACCTCCTGAAAAGCTGTTCACCTGGCTTCCTGCTCTTTGTCTCGGCCTAGGGTTCTCCACTGATTGCCCTGGGCATTAAGCAGGGAAGACTTGCGCTGTGATTTTATGCAGACTCACATACGAAATCCACTCAGCCCTTGATTGGCTGCAGTGCTCAGGCTCTTCCACTTCCCAGCTCTGGCCCTCCTCATCCTGATTCTGGGGAAGAGAGTGAAACTTCCCAGTAGGGAAGGAATCATAATAACAGTACTTCTTTCGTAGGACTGTTAGGAATATTACATGAAATAATATATAGAAAGTATCTTAATTGGTGACACACTAAGTGCCCCATAAGTGTTAGCTGTTATCTATTTCTCCAATGCTCTAATCCTTTAATTACAAGCAACATGTATTAACTTTATAAATAAACATACTTTTTAAAAAAATAAGACAGAGTAAAAAAATGTGACAGTACAAGTAAACAGCAGACAAGGGGTTACATGGCAAAAGAGATTACACAGATGAATTCTGTTCACCTTTATATTCCAGTGCCTATCACATGGCGGGCAGTCAAATATTTGCTGGAATAAATCAATGTAAGAATTAACAGAGTAAATTCCCCTTCTAATGATGGTCATCAGAAGCCATATGGTGCACACTTATAATCCTAGCACTCGGGAGGCTGAGGCAGGAGGATCACCATTGAGTTCAAGGCCAGCCTGGGCTACACAGTGAGTTCAAGGCCAGCCTGAACTACATAGCAAGACCCTGGCTCGAAAAACAAGAAAAAAAAAATTCATACCCTATTTGTGCATCTTGACCTCTTGACCTCAAACCATGGAGAGTACAGGACAGCTGAAGGTGAGAAATTATTATACAACTTAATATAAATATTGCAAGCATCAACTTCTGCATCTCCTCCTTCTTGATACTGTATCTGGGCAAAAGTCCAGAACATCAGAATTCCTAGTCTTTATAAAAGAATAATGACCAAATAACAGTTCACAAATGCGTTCAGGACCAATCATCTGAATGTTGCTGTAGTTCTCTGGGATCCACAATAGGCAACAAACTATGAAGCAGGTCTGAAGGTTTTACAGGAGATAGTGAGTTCTGTGCACCTACAGTAATAAGACCCATTTCAAAGTGGCGAGCAGAGGCTGCCGGGTCACCTCAGGCAGCGTCCTACACACTGCAAAGCGAGGGTGCGACACACACAGCTCACCATCATATTCATTTCAAAGTCGGCCAGTGGCATCTCCAGTGGGTACAATCACCTCTCTACAAAGAGCTCTTAACTTTCAGCATCGAGAGTTCAAAAATCATTTCTAAATCTCTGTCTCCCAAGTCCAACAAAGTAACAAGTTGGGGGCGGGGGGAGGGTATAAGAAGTTTTCTTTCACACTAAATTTGAAAAACTAACAAGCATCATAACAGTGATCTCAGGACACAGCCCTTCAAAGTTATCAGAAGTTTTACAATACAAAACAAAGACCCAGACAATACCAAAGAAGCTGGGGCTTTGTCACACACACTCCAGGGAAGCCAGGCTCAATGAAAATGATCAGGCTGGCTGAACTGCAGCCTTGCTGGGGCTTTATCTACTGTCCACTGACTAGCCTGTTTCTAAAGAAAGCAACCTTTTACTCCCTAGTCCCAGTGGACTCGGGCTTTGAGGTTACTCCAAGGAAAACATGGGGACTTGCCCTTAAAGTGTCTGAGTTTCACAACATTTTAAAGAGGTTAATGGCACTGAATTATGTCTGAGACACTGCTGGCATCAGAAGACTCCAAGAAGCATATAAAATGGTTGATGACTGAAGAGGTTTGGGATATTTTTGAACACTTTTAGATGGTATGCTGGGCCAAATTACTGTTTTTACAAACTACTTGAACTTTCAGAAACAAAAAGCAATAAACTTGAACTTAAAGAGTATTTTTTTTTCCTCTTGCTATTAAGTCTTGGAAGGCAATATTTTAAATATCTAAGGCAATATTTCCTAAGCATAAAATTGCCAAGTATGTTTATTTAAAATGTGGATTTCACCCCACACCTACCCCAGAAATATGGAATCAGAATTCCTAGGAGAGTGTGGGTGTAATAATTTATCAAGCACCCCAAGGTAGGTTTCATCATGTTAGGTTTGAAAAAAACACTGAACCTAGGATAAAAATGTCAGCATCACTCCTAAGGAAAACAAGAAATGAAGAGAAGCCCAATTTCTATAAATTTAAAGCTATGTGGGATTTAAGAATATCATACTTAAGATGCACCGAGCACACAAACCTTCAGATATAAAAGTAGGACAAACCTTTCCACAACCCAAAGCCCAGCAGCATGAGTGTTTCTGGTCCCATCTGCTGCCCTGAGAACCAAGGCACCTGGGAAGCCTGCTCCTCACCTCTTCCAAACCTGGCCCAACCTGCCCATCTCTAGCAGACTTTAGCATCTGCCCTTCTCTCAACTCTATCAAAAATGTAATGATAAAATAGCACAACTGCTTTCACCCTAGGCAAATAAAAGCTTCACAGTTTGCGCATCAACTTCAGCCAAAGGCAAAGGGAGTCAACACCGAGCCCCTCAGATCAGTTCAGAAAGGGGACCAGGGATGTTGAACAGAAAGCCGAGGACATGGTGAGGTGCGGAAGGATCTCCCTGGTGTGGGGAGGGCTGAATGGGAGCAGATCTGCTATAAAATAAGGCACCAAATAATTTCAGAAGTTCAACGAATGTAAAAGCCCCTTTGCAGGAAAAGCAGCCCACCATGCACGCAGGCGAACTGGAAGCAGAATGAGAGAAGAGAGACGAGCAAGTCCCCACTAAAGGCTTGGGCACATGCATCCTCTGCAAGAGGATCCAGAGAGGTTGCTCTTCAGAAAGCACAAGGAAACCTCTGTCAGTCGTCCAAGGCCTCAGACCTTCTCCCCTCCCCACCCCAGGGTGAGGGAGACTGGGAATGGGACTGTGAGGGATCCAGTGGAGATCAGTGGATGGCCCCACTCACCTACCACCCCATGTCCTATGGCAAAAACGAGGGACTTTGTGGTTGGATCGAGGTGTCACTTTTTTTAAGTGTATGCTACCGGAATGTTAGCATAACACTGAAAACTGCTCCAAAAGACAAAACAGCAATGCATGTGAACACAAAACCTTTTCTCTTGGCATTACAGGGGCAGGACTACCTAATGTTAACTACAATAAACTATCAAACTTGCAGGTCCCTCAGGAGGTGTGGCCCCAGCCGCCTGGGGCACTCTGTGGAGGGGCTGGCAGCAGCTCCCATGGCACAGAGGGAATGCCATCTGCTGAGAAGCTGGCACCAGGTGCCTCTTGCCCCCACATCTTCTGGGGCTGAAACAGGCAGCGCAGGTCCCCAGGAGTAAGTTTCTCCCCTCCCAGGGCTCTTCAGGGCAGGGGACACACTCCAAGGGCCACCTGTTCCCTTTCCCCTCCCTAAACACTCCAAGGGTCAAAACTGCCAGATCTTCCCTAAGATTCTATCAGACCCACTGCAAGGGCCCGCCCCTCCTCAAACCCCTGCAACACCTGGCTCCCCAGTAAATGAGCTGGGCCCCCCAAACCTAACCTCTCTGGTAGGGATGCTTCTGACACACCCCAAAGAAGGTCCAAATCACAGCTGCCAAACGGAGCTCCTCCCTGGGCTTCGGCAAAGCCCATCATCGCGATCAAGAGATCTCAGACGCTTGGGGCGCTTCCGTCCCACAGCTGTTCGTGGCTCCTGCTAGATTTTAGTAGCTCGCTCGCCTCCTCCTGCAAATAAGGTAAACCTGGACCACAGGTAACAGGCCAGAGCCTCAAGCCCTCGAAGTTCTCTTTAAACTTCCTCTGGGCAAGACACGCAGAGCCGGCCTCGGGCAGGTCTGCTCCTGCCGCGACCCCGCTTCGCAAGCCCCTCCTGGAGCCACCACCCCCACCCCTCACCCCGCAGCGCCGCGGCCGTGGTACTCACGTCTCGGAAGCGGTTCCAATACTTGTCCCTGTCGTACTGGGAGACGGTGCTCAGCCACTGGTCATTGTCTAGGAAATTGCCATTGTTGAGGCCCGCACCTCGGGCGAACGCGTCCAGGTGCCGGCTCTCGACCTGCAGGAAGCAGCACGCCGCGGCGGCCGCGGCCAGCACCGCAATCGCTGGCATCTGCGGGGCAGGGGCGCGGGCGTGAGCGGGAGGGCAGGGGACGCGACCCCGGCTGGCTCCGCCGTGGTGGGGGCGGGGATCGCAGGGGCCGGGGACCCCGGCACAGCTGCAGCGCGCGCGATCTGGAGACCCACGAACCCCACTCACGAATGGGGACTGAGCTACAGATGGCGAGGCTGGGTCCCGAATTAGGGAACGCGTCAACTCGAGAACCCTTCACCTGTTCTCCGGGTGCCCCCGGACCTTTGCTCTAGGATCGGGGCGTCAGCACCCCTCCGCAAAAGCCTGGAGCCCCGATCCTCAAGCCTCGCGCCCACAGACGGTGCCCACGGCTTGGGGGCAGGAGGGGAACGGGGCTCCGAGCAGCAGCCCAGCCTAATGACTCCGCCACCGGAGTCTCCCGTCCCTAGCTAAGGAACAGGTTTTCCTTGCCCGCCTGAGGCCACGGCGACAAAAGGGGCCCGCGGAGATCACCCTGGGCCCTGACCTGCCAGCCCCACGGCTGGCCGCTGCGAGGTCCCAACTACGCCAAGTTAGGGCGCGGGGGCTGCAGCGCACATACCTTGGGAGCCGGCCCAGGTCCCCGCGTCCGAGTTGCTTGAGCCCCTGTGGCACGGCCGCCGAGAATGCCGATTGCTTGCTCGCTCCGCTGCGCTCCTGCTACCCGCCGCCGCCGCCGCGCGTCCGGCCGCTTTGTGAGCCCGCAGCTCTCAGGCTCGCCAGGCTCCAGGTCTCGGGCGCGGCGTCCGCGGGCGGAGGAGCCCGAGCGCGCCAGCCGAGGCCTCTGGCGCCCCCTGGCGGCCGTGAACTGCTTGAGGCCCGCCTGGGTGTCTGGGCCCATCATGTAGTTATTTACACTCCGGTGGTACTGAGGAGACTTTCTGGGCCAGCCTGGTGCAAGATAGCTGAAGGAACCGAGGATACAAAACCAAGAAGCCAGCCACCAAGAATCTTTACTTTTGTTGTGGTTGTTTTACTGAGGATTAAACCCAGGGCCTCATGCCGCTAAACTACACCCCAGCCCTTTTTACTTTTTGTTGTGAAACAGAGCTTTGCTAAGTTGCTCAGAGGGCCCCCCCAAATTGCAGCTCTCCTCCCTCAGCTTCCCCGAATAGCTGGGATTACGGGTGTGCACCATGTGCCTGGCTCAGGAGTCCCAAGATCCCTTTCATGCATCACCAAGCCTGAGTGGATTTCCGTACTGCCCGCCCGGGTCATAGTCAGACCCCACCTTCCTCTCTGCAATCTGCCCCATGTCATGGCCACTCCTGTCGGCCCTGCATGGCCCTCCAGCCTTCGTTTCTCTCAGTTCTGCATCCTTGTGCTCATCGTGACTCTGCCAGTATACTTTGGTCTCTGCTTCTGACCCCACCCCGTGGAAAATGGCTCAAAGCTAGCCTGCTACATTTTCTTATATAGGAGGGAAAGGAAAGAGAAGAGCTGGAGCAGGCTTCAGGGACAGGACACAGAAGCAGGAGCTGGCCTTGACCCCAGCCCCCAGCTCCTTCACAGTACTCAGCCATGTTTGATCAAACAAGGCTGGAAGGGACTCAGTGCCTTCCCTGCCTGAGACCAGGAGATACTTACCTGCCACCTTCTCTATATAACTGTATCCCACTCCGCATGCTCCACACGCACCAAGTGCTTGTTTAGAACAAGTCTGGCCAAACCATCTCTGCCACCACCATGCCCAGCACAAGCTCAGAACACTTCCTGATGCTTTCCTGAGACCAGACTCCTGGTTGCAGCCCCAGGGCCTGCACATCTGGCCCTGCGCACCTCTGGTTACCTGTCATTACCTGTCACCGAATTCCCTTCTCCTAGCTTCACTTCCTGGATAGTCTTCCTCTAGGTATAGACCCCCGTGGAGATGAGCTGCCTCCAGTGTGGGCTCTCTCACTTTTGCTTGGGCCAATGTCCAGCCCAGCTGGAGCCTCATTAATGCACTCCTCTGCTCACTCAACTGTGCTTGTTCAGAGAGACTCTTGCTGAGCCCAGGGACCAGGCCAGGACCCCACTGACACTATCCATGTTCCTGCACTGGAAGTTGCTTGTCTCATGTCTGTCCTCCTCCTGGGCTGGAACTCAGTGAAGGCAGAGGCTGACTGTCTTGTACATAGCAACTCCCCTGTCTCCAGGGCACAAGCTCCTAACAGAGGTGCTCAGACAATACTCGTGGTGAAGGAGTGAGTGAGTGAATGAATGAATGGCACCCAGCCAAGTCTGAACCACGCTTCTCAGCTAACAGTAACACATGATGTAGTCAGTTGTGAGCTGGGCTGCAATCATTTGCTTGTGTGTAATATGTAGAAGTTGGAGTGTGATTGTTCTTCAAAACATCAGCAGAACCCTAGGTATCCCAATTTTACTCTGACTGATGTGCATTCCTGGAGGCTTTCTTGAAAGGGAAAAGAATGAAAATCACAGCTGTCATTTACATCAGCCAAAGTTTATCATGGGACTCTTCTAGGTATTCAAGATCAAATCCTGGGTATATCAGAGTGGAAGAGAGGCTTACAAATGAGGGAGAGAATTTCCTTATGTTCATAGAAATTCAGGCAAGCAGCACTTCTGCATTTCTCTATCCAGTTTGACAGCAAAACTTTTCCACAGAGTTGTCCCCTGATATTTTACTCATCTCTAATGCATTCTCCTACCACTCTAATCTGCCTTTCAGCCTCCCTCACTCCAATGACTTGTCACATCAACAGCAGCCCCTAGTTGGTCTCCTGGTTCTGTGGGCTCTGGGGCACCATCCCTCCTTGCTTTCCTGTCTCCACTAGTTATTCCTGCATGTACTCTAGCACTTCTTGGAGTGCAGGCCCAGGTTCTCCCTCACAATCTGTGCCTTTCCCTGGCTGCTCACATCAAGCCCTGCACTGAGTGTCCAGGTACAAGCCCAGCCTCCAAGTGTCTGAGGACTTCCTCCTGTTCATAATGGCATCTCAGGATGCCCACGTGTATGTCAGACATACCAGGATTTCCCTCAGCATCTGTGCTCTACGGTAAACCTATCCCCAACCAAATGGCTGCCTATGGCAGAAGTTTGAGGGTCAACTTCTATTCCTCCACTTCCTTCCCCCTCCACATCCTTCAGTGAGCTGGTCCATTCCACTTCCAAATGCCCAAGGACATGGACATACCCACTTCACACAACCCCAGTGGGCACCACCCCATCCACTCAGTCATTACTTCTCATCAGAGGACTACAGTAGCCTCCTAACTGGTTTTTTTGGTCCTTGCCTTTCTCCTGCAGCCCACTGTCTACTCCAAAGTCAGAGAAATGCTTTAGAAAGAGTCCCCATCTTACATAAAACCTCCTAACATCTTGCCATGATGCCCAGTCAAAAGCCCAGACTCCTCTCCGGGACAATAAAGCACTGTCCCATTTGTCCCCTCAGCCCTGCCCCTGTGCCCTAGATTCTAGGCATATTCCTTCTCAGTTTTCTGCAAACACACCAAGAGTGTCCTCACATTACGTCAGGTCCTCCACACTGGCCGGGTCCTCTTCCTGCAGTGTCCTTGCCCCTGCCCCTGCTCATCACAGGCCGGCTTACTCTTGGCTGTGGGATTTCAACTCAGACATCACCATCTCAGAGAAACCTTCCCGGCCTGCTTCATCTAACACAGCCACCCCACCCCCACCCCCACCCCATGGCAATGGAATTCCCTGTCTGCTATTGCTCCTGGCTACTCCCATAACAGTGTTTTGTTCCTTTGCTTATTTCTCTTTTCTTCAGTTCAACTATTCAAGGAAGACAAACCTACTGTCTTTTTCACTCCTGCCCAGGCTTATCTCAGGACCTGACATTTAGTGGACACTCAGTAAATATCTATTCAGCAAGTGAATGAATGGGTGAAACACATTTCAGAACCCTTCATGCATCCTAAAGTTTGAAGCCCCTAACTGCCTTCAGCATTTCCTTTGGTCCTCCTTAAATCTCTTGTTCTGGAGAGAGCTGTTCTCTGCTTTTCTGAGAGGTCCTGTCTCCAGTTTAATCAGAGGGCATCTGCTCTTGGCCAAGCTCCAGCCTGACAACCGGAATCTTCCCTGTAACCAGCACAAATGGGAAGGGCAGCCAGCACAGCCAGGCAGGGATGCGGGGTGCCGGAGCTGGCCCGAGCCAAGAAAGGATGTAACCTTGGGGTGGGGTGGGAAAGCTGGAAGCTGGAGACCTACCAGCCACTCAGCCAGCACTTGTGGGGAGGAACATCAGATTTATTTGGCTGCAGGAAGCACCAGGGACCGAGATCGATACTGAGCCTTGGGGCTGTATTTCTGCTTTTCATTGGCTTATGCACAACTATAATAACTCCTTGTTTTAACATAGTTCTCATTTTCAAAGAGCCCCACATGTTTTATTTTCAGTTTAATGGATCCCCAAACATGTGCTCCTGGCTACACTGAAGCAAACATAACTATCACCATTTTATGCGGAGAAGAGGGAGCACCAAAAGGCTAGATGACTGTGAAGGTCACAGAAAGAGAGAAAGATAGTCTAGCAGTGAAAAGTTCCACACACACAGCCCCTCAAGATATGAACCACCCACTGAGCTCTGTCTGATAAAGAGAGGCTCCTATCATTCTTACTTATCATCAACCTGAATTCACTTTTAGCTGAAAAGTCATGGCTACCTGGTACATGGCACCTCCATTTGCTGCCTCTGTTACCTTGAACTAAATGTGTCACAAATGGAATCCTTGAGCTGCATCCCCTAGTCAAACCTGCTCTGCTTCCTGTGTCCCCACCTCTGGAGAAACAGCCACCCCTGCCTACTGTTCCAATCACCTGTCCCTGCCTCTCCTGGGGGCTCGCCAGGGCCTGGATGCTCCCCTTTTTGCCTGTCCTTCTGCTGACCAGCCACCACCCCAACTTAGGCTGCAGCTTCACTCTAAGTCCCCAGAAAAGCTTCCCTCAACCCCACAGCCTGAAGGTCCTCATGACACCTTCAGAATTGCTTAATGTCCCTCTCCCACCAGACACTCAGCAGCACAAAGGCAACGTCTGAGTCAGGGTTTGCCTCAGCTGCTACTGAGCCCATGGTGCTTAGAACAAATACATGCTACACAGTAGGAATGTGGTAAGTACCCATGGAACCAGGAAATACCCGAAGCCTAGTCCATGCATTTCCCTCTCTTCTTAGAAGCCAAGAAGCTCCCAGGTTTAATTTAGAGTTTTTTACCCCAAACATTCCTTGGATGCAAGGTAGAGACAATGAGGAAATGATGTGATCTTCCCACCGCTGGTTGATTCATCACTTTGGAGGTGCTATTGGAAAATATCCTGGCCCCAAGAAGGGGAAGCATGAAATAGATGCATTTCTCAACACTATGGAAAACAGCTCACCCAGCAGGGCCCGTAACTTTTATGAACCCATTGATTGCACTTATTGATTATATGCATTCAGCAGAGCCGGGCTCGCTCCATCTTTTCACAGCCCCCACTGCCACCCCAGCTCTACACACATCTCTTCCTCCCGTGCAAAGCCATAGTAAATGGGTGACCTAGGTCAGGAGGAATTGATTTTAAGCAAATGAATACCTCACAGAGAAATGAAAATAACTGTCAGAAAAACCTAATGGCCAAGCAGCTACACAGGACAGATCAGAAGATTTCAAAGCCCTGACCACAGAGAAAAATTCATGAGAACAACAATACCAATAACGACACAGGCGGACCTATGTGAGCACTCACAAAATGTTATCATAGTCCTGTTTCTATCTAATGTAATTGTTAT